TATCCAACTGAGATCATGTTTTGAAGTTTCCATTTCAAATGGAAAATTCAATCTCTTCCATGCTTTAGGGTTCTTGGTTGTAGGGCATTTGTGCCCAAAAGCTTGCAGAGAACAATTTGCCAAATGTTTAGTTGGTCTAATAAAAGATACCACATCTACCCAAAGAACCTTGTCTGTCTATTACTTAACTGAAACATTTGGGTATGGTACTAAATGATATGTCTATTGGAATAAAAACAAAAATCAACAGCCTTTTCCTTTGACCTCACCAAAAAAACTACAACCAATAGAAAAACAAAGCTGAAAAACAACACAAAACAGAAACCCACCTGAAACAAATAAAAAAACCAATAAGATTCAATAAATGCCTATGTTCCCTAGGGCACTAAGAAACATGAATTCAATTCTGTTATGCTACAACGTCATTCATATAATAAAAAAATTGTTATACCAAAAATAAATAAAAAAAATAAAACCTCTACCAGAAACACACTAACAAAAGGTTCTCTCATCTGAATGGATAATTTCTAAGTTATCTTGCTCTGAGGAAAGAAAGTACCCATAGCTGGAAGTGCTGCATGCTATTAACAAGATCAACATGAGAAAAAAAAATCTGGATATATTAAAATAAAAAGCAAAAACAAAGAGGAAAAACCCCAGGTAATTACTGTGTTAGCATAAGAAGACAGAAAGAATAGTTCACTACTGAAGGGGAATGTTATCTTCCTTCACTTTCAATTACCTTAATTTCTTCTCCTGATTATGCCATCAATTATTATACTGAAGTACCACTCAAAAACTCAGTGAGGTTTGAGGATTTCCTTTGGGCAAGGTGCTTTGCAAACATACAATGACACAGTCCCTGCCCAAAAGAGCTTACAGTCTAGGAAAGCAAATAACATACAAAGCGAGGGGAAAGAAGAATACAGCCAAATGCAAACAAATATACATCTACATTTTTTGTAAACTGTAATAAAAGGTTGACTATGCCTATCTGCCCCTCCACTTAGCCATCACTATTTGGATGATTGTTTAATAGGCATCACAGCAGATGTGGGTTTCAAGGAGAGATTTGAAGGAAAAGGGGGTAGTGGCCTGATGAATCAGTTCAGGGAGGGCATTCCATGCATACGGGACAGTGTGAAAGATGTTATATTAAAACCTGAAATTGTGTAGAGCAGCATTTCTTCAGGTCAAAGTTCAAGATGTATGTGTGAAGTCCCTATTTTCTGAGACAGGCTGTGTAGTTATGTGAGTAACATTTGGCCATTACACGGGTAAGTGAAATCACTGATGGAGGACTACACTGAATTCTTATCAGTTGCCATTATTTCTCAGTGGCTGCCAGTTAGCACAGTAACTGTGAGGAGATGATATGGAAGGGTTTGGGAAGGAATCTGAGACAGAATAAGGGAAATGGGGGTGGGGATGGAGGAAAGAAGACAAAAGGAAGAAATGGGGAAAATATTTTCAAATGTGTTCTTCTGATTGCGTTAGGTCTTTATGTGTTTGCAATTTATCAGCTAAATAAGTAAAAACATATACAATATTTAATGTACATTTGACACCATAAAATAAACTGGACCATATGCCAACATATACAGTTATGTTATTATCCTTCACTATGGAAAGGTGAGAAACAGGTTAAACAAGAGACAAAATGCTTCCCCTTACCCTTCTTCTTCCGTACTGAAGCTTGGAAATAGAAAGGGAATGAACTGTGAATCAATTCTGAAAGTAAGCCCATTTTAAATGCTAAATCCTTGTCTGATTTTCGAGCAAAAACATTTTTCTGCTGTTCTTAAGAGGTCAGTCTCTCCCTGCCAACTTGGATTTGCATGTACTTTTCAAGCCACTTAGCATTAGCTTCTTGGCATAGCCCAGTTTATTGGGGTTTAGATTTTGACTATGGAAAATTGTTGCACTGTAAGACTTAGATGTCTTGGCTCTATATGAGATTTATTTTTACAAATGTACAAAAATATCCAAAATGGTTACTTTTGATACATTAAAAGGATATAAATTTGGGGAAATTTTCATATCTTTGCTGTTCAAAAGTGGAATAGAATCAAACTCATTTTATATGCCATACTTTGGATTAAATCATTTGAAGGTAAACAATTGAGGTTGCTAAGAAGTAGGCAGGACACTGTGTATTACTATGAAGAACAGAATAACTGAAACTATGGCCATACAAACAGAAATAGAAGAGGTTCAGAGACAGGCAACATAAATGACTGGGAAAAAACTTCTATATGGAGAATTGAAAACACTGAGGTTGCTTAGTTTAGAGAGGAGAAAAGGGGTACACAAAACAAACTGGGACTTCCTTTTTACCTTTTCTTGCAATACATAACATAGGACCATTCCACTAAAGTAAAAGGCCATTACATTTAAAACTGATAAAAGGAAATACATTTGTACACAGCACATAATCAGTCAGTGGAACTATCTGCCGCAAGACATCACTGAGACTATAAGCTTATTGGATTCAGAAGGATTACACGCACACACAGATGAATGAGAACATCCAGACTTTTTTGCTCTGTTTTTTTCTTTTTCCACACATAGTGTTATCCTTATACAAAATATACTGTAAAACATACATTTTGTTTGGATATATACTTAAAAAAATCTATTTAGTTAATATCTACATTAAATAAAAACAAATTGTGGGCATTGTCATTCAATGTTTACCATCTATATATGTACACACATGACCTTGTACTTCAGGATGTAAACCAACCTCTTGTCTGATGGGGAATGAAGAAGAAATTTAACTTATAGGGAGTTTGTTACCCATTATAAGCCTTCTTGTACCAGTCACTCTCCAAAACAACTAGACTAAGAGGCCATGTAGCTGAAATACCAGTCCCCCTGGCTTTGAAAGTGTTTTTGCATCACAGAAGTGATGTCTGCAGTCTTGTAAGGGAAGAAAAAAATGTGTGCTGTGCTCTGGCAGCCTTATATCTTTTTTGGAGGACATTTACCTTTGGAGCAAGCTTCAGCACTGTTCTTCAGACCAGTGCAGTCATGTCAGTCTAAGGTTTGTTTAGCCTTAGTGGGACAAAAAAATAAAGGGAAAATGTAGGTTCCCCCTAACGGTCTTTTCTTTTTAATGAGGATGCAGGTAGAGCTATTACTTCTAATTAGGAGAGTTGCTGATTAGGATGCCAACAACCATAAACACCCTACCAGGTTGAGCCAGTTAGTCTAAATACTATAAATTAAAATATTCAGATACTTAGCTAGTGACTGTGTTCTTTGCTGTTCCAGTGGTGTAGCTAATTTTTATTTCTCTCCTGCTTCAGGAAGGGCTAGGAGTAAGGAATGCTCCCCCTTTAGGAGAGAATGCCTCCAGGCTGCACAATGACAACTTTTTGAGCCAATTACAAGACTGTTCTTTCAGGGCTCCTAAAGGAGTCCTCTCCAGTGCTTCATTGCTAGGAGGATAGTATCTAAAAATGTCAGAAGAACTGTAAAGGAGAAATACAGGGATATCCTCAGGCTTTGAAGTGACTTGATAAAGGGGAAATAGTTGCCTAAATAATCTTTCCTTTAGGTAGTTGTGCATGATGAAACCAGAATAATTGTAAATTAAACAACATTTTAATATTTCATGAAAAAAGCCACAAAAGGAGGTGTATTTTACATTTTTAACCTTAGAAGAGAAATATGGATAATTCACAGACAGTAGAACAACTACAGTGAACTATCTGAGCCTATGACACAAAATAATCAAAAGCAACAAAGTTTTGAGATTTGCACGTCTTTGTTCTTGAATTTTAAATTCCAAGAAATAATATGAATTAATGAGAGTAAAACTTATCATTTTTATTTGATTGCTATACCACACAGAGGTATAACACTCAGGGACCTATTTAGCTTCTCTTTCTTGGTCAAAATTCCCACCGAAAACAAGGTGAGTTTTGAACCATTAAGAAATGGATATGATCGCCCTTTTATGATAACATGAGTGCCTTGAAACTACTGCGTTTGCTTTTTAAAGATGATTATCCACAAGACTGGATTCCTTTCAGCTGACCTTCATCTCAGCTAATATGTAAGGAAAATTATTCTGAAATCTATATAGTTAAATCCATGTAGGATCACAGTAAGAGAAAGAAGTATTCTACGAGATGCTCAGACTCATTACTTTGCAAGTATTCATTTTTATAAGATATCAGATAATAAACACTTTATTCTAGCCAAGGAGTTGTATACATCTCGGCATACATTTACTTTTTGCCTTTTGAAAAAAAATGCTTGTTAGTCTAGCCTACTGAAGTACCGCTTTTCAATGATACAACAAACCCTGTTCTTTTTATCACGCCATGTTATCTTAATCTGAAATTCCCTGAAATACACAACATAGCCCATAGCTGGGATGCTCACATATAAGTCATTTAAAACTAGTAAATTAAAGACTGAATACTCATTATGTTGCATTACCAAAAATTAAAGGAATTAAGATTATATCCAAGCCTAGAACTGAATGGAATATTGACATGTACACCACAGAATCTAATAAGAACAAGTTGAGGTTGAGGGTGTACTGCTTTAACACTGTCAGCTTTTTAACAATGGCTTCTGGCAGCTTACCTTTATCCACTAATGAGAGGCCACAGAAATTTAAAATAAAACAATATTAGATGAACTGAAAGATTCAAAAGCAAGATAATCAAATATGATACAGCAATAATTTTTAGTATGTGCCATAGTTTGATGATGCAAAAAAAATGTATCAACATTCTCTTGCAGAGCAGTTAAGGCACACACACACACACAAAAACCAAAAGAAACCCTCCTTACTACTTTTCATGCAAGTCATGCATATTTTGAACTCTTCAGAGACGCAGCATTCCTAAAACCTTTTCTGTACAAGGTACTCTATATAGGGTGCAATTCATTTAACAAAACAAAACAAAACAAAAAATTCCCCCAACATTTTCTTTACAACCCCATTAGCTCAGCATGCTTGTTAAAAAACACATCCTTACCAAGCTCTTCAAGCTCTGAGGTCATTGACTTAGACCGCAAGGTCAGTGCAGTGGTTGGAGCTCGCTTTGGAGGAGGTGGGGCTTTGCATTAAATAGAAGGATATACAGTATAAGTAAAGATACATCTCCAAAGCACTGTATATTTCCCCTATACATTGTTTGATTTAGACAAAGATTTAATAGCAATTGCATGGAATGTGCATGCCCTTTAAGTTTAAAATAGGGCTCCTATATATTAAATAAAGTAACAAATCTATACACATAATAATTCTTGGGGGGGGGGGGGAAGAGGGGAGATGAAGGACCAAAAACAACATCTCTGAGGGTTTTAATATACTGACTTTCTAATAATTTTTCCTTTAGCATATGTTACTGGATAAAATGGAACACTTATAAAAGGATGCATTAGAAAACTTTCACCTTTAGCATTTCTACAAATAACTCCCACACAGTTGCATCATCACCCTTTCAAGCAGTAGGACAGTGACATGTGTACTTTACACCATGTCCTACATGTCATAGAATCATAGAAAATTAGGGTTGGAAAGGATCTTAGGTAGTCATCTAGTCCTACCCCTTGCTCAAAGAGGACCATACCCAATTAGATCATCCCAGCCAAAGCTTTGGCTAGCCACCTCTTAAAAACCTCTAAGGATGAAGAGTCCACAACCTCTCTGGGTAACCTGTTCCATTGTTTTGCTACCCTCCTAGTGAGAACATTCTTCCTAATATCTAACCTAGCCTTCCCCTGCTGCTCACAATCTCAAGATGTTAAATCAATAAACTATAAATGGGAGTGTACAAGCTTATCTCAATGGTCAGGATAAAGCATGGGGATCCTCTCAAAGTCATAATAGGGAGTCATGCCAAATGCCAAGAGGAAAACCAAAGGGTTCTGGTCACCCAGACTATCTATGAGAACATGAACAATGAAGTATTCTGAAATACCTTGAACTACGATGCTGCCTGAGAAAGGGTGGCAAACCAATCCAGAGGACACACAAAATTCTTGCCATATTCTCTATAGCCACTAGCATTGACATCATCTTATCTAAATTAACTTCAATCACCTCCATGTCATTCAACCCTCTCTCAGCTAGTCACCAGGTGCATCTACATGAGATGCTTTACTGTGCGTTAGACTAATCTAAAGTGCCATAAAGCATCACCGTCAACATGTGTGCAGCAATTAGTGTACAGTAGATTAGTCTAATGCACCGTTTTCTAGTATGTGTAGATACAGGTATTAAAAATCAGCACATTAAACTGATGCACCATTAAACTGAAGTGCACATGTACACATTGCTCTCGGTCAGCCTAGACACCACAAGGCTATGGGAGGTGGGAGAGCTGTCCTGGCTTGGCAAGACACTGTCAATCTCCATGAGGCAGGGAGAGCTATTCAGGCTGGGAGGCAGCTGCCTCCCAGCCTGATGGAGATCAGGATTGGTCTCCACAGGGTAGAGAAGCAGCTGTCCAGTAGTGGGGACAGCTCTCTGCCCTGCAGAGATTGGGACCAGCCCCTGTGCTGCTTGCCAGCCCAAGGCTGCCACCTGGGTGAGCCTGGAGCTCCCTCTAGCTGCTGCAGGGAGGCAGAGCAAGACAGGCGCAGCCCTGGACTGGACCGCTCCAGTCGGGAGCAAATTTGCTCTTGATGGGTGCATGTTCAGATGCGTGCTGGGGTGCAGATCAATGTGCCTGCATTTTCTATGCATTAATTGCATGTGTAGATGAGCCCACAGAAAGCAAAGATATAGCTGTGCTCAGGTTCAGTGCTGTGTATGTAAGTTAAGGAAACAGCAGAGTGGACTGCCTTACTACTTCCCCCTGTAACCATAGGAACGTTTTTAACAAGTGTGAGGACAACAGCTCTGCGGATTTCAAAAAAGAAGCCATATGGTTACCCTGTATAAACATCTGACCTTTTGTCCATCACCAGGAAGAGTTTTGTAGCCCAAAAGTTCCATCTAGGCTCTGGGCCTTTTATACTTTATACTGTGAGCGGCACAAATGTTGATCAGCGTTAGTAATAGCTCGGGTTTGGAGCAGTCATGCTGAATGCCAGCACGGGCCTGGAGGACAAAAGTAAGAATCCCCCTTCCCATCCTGGGCTTCCCTCCTGTACCCTGCACCTTGCCCCCTGAGGCCCCCCACCACCCTGGGGTTACTCCCTGCCTCCCCCCGCCCCCCAGGCCTTCTTTACTTGTGGTTGCCTGCACTGACCCAGGGGAGCAAGCAGGGAAGATTTAGCCTGCCTGTCCAGCCACTGCTGCTGTCCTGCTGCTGCTCTTCAGGCCCAGAGAACAGGGGCCATGGCTGGGCAGGCAGGTTAATCCTTCCCTGCCTAGTCCCCTGGGACAGACAATATGGGCAGCTGCAAGTAAGTGAGGGAGGAGGATGGGGCAGGGATTGAGTGGGGATCTAGGGTGCTGGGGATGGTGGGGGGTGGGCAGTAGGCTTGATCCAGGCCAGCAGGGGTAGGAGGGTGAGTAGGGTGTTTACATGTTTACTGTATATCTTAGAGTGGCTACACCTTAGTGTAACACAAGCTGGGCAGCATGGATCAGAGATAATCCCACCCTGGAGTGGCATAAAGTTTTGAGCTGGCTAAAATGCTTAACACCAGTTTTAGGTTTTATGTGAAGGCAACCGAGGGATTAAGAGCTGCAGGAAGTGCCCTAAATTACCATGTAACATTCTCAAACTGGAGCCATACTTTAGAGGAATCAAAGAAATCCCTAATCTATTGGTGATTCTTAAATTCCCTTGATATCACCTTCCCAATAATCTGGCGCACAACAGGGAAATTACAGACAAACATGATGAAGGTTCCTTAAACAGAGGTCTAATGATATTTTTCTTTTTTGAGGAAAGAACTCATTCTTCCTTTGGAAAATATTAACATTCTGAGCCAACTGTGTTAAATGTACAATTTTACTTAGTTATGGGAAGAGAATACAATCTCTGGCAGCAGATAGAAATGCTATGAGGATTTGGAACATGCCAATACTAAGAGAAAGCAATTCTGCCAAAAATAATGGTATGAAGATAAATAAAGTATTTTTTTCTCCATTTCAGCTACTCTAAATTTGAAACAATATTATGATTAGTAGTATTACTATTTATTGATAATTTATTATTAGATTATTAAGAAGCAGGGTAAATAGCAGTGGTGCTTGAAGAGACAGATTTTTTAATAGTAAATCATGTAATATGAGTGACATTTTTGTACATATTCCTAACTCCAAGACTATTACAGTGCAGGGGAGAGCCACGCCAAATTCTACCACGAAGATTGGGTGGTCCCTATTGTTTAATAGGTAGGAGCACTTCAGACAGATGTCAGCTGTGCAGTACCACCATCTTGTTGAGAGCTGGAAGGTCACAGCCAGGAGCTCGAAATACTGACTGCTACAAGTAGAGATATTAGTGAACATGACAGTAATGTAACTGGGGGAGGAGGGGAAAGTGGGGTTTTGGAGAGGAGCAGTTACCCCAGGTGCTGGAAAGCCCTGCACTGCCCCTGCCACCAGGAGATATACAGCGCAGTGCTGTATTAAGCAGCATATCTAGGGGGTGGGGGAAGAATGGAGAAAGCAGAATGATTGCCCCTTCCCTGAGATACACTCCCCAGGAGCCCTTGTAGCAGTGGGGGAAACCCTGCACTGCCACTGTCCAGCCACAGGAATTGGGCAACGCAGTACAGCACCATACAGTGCATCTGGGAGACAGGAAAGCCAGTGGGACAAGTTCCTCCCTGAATCACTTTGTTCCCTGGACCTCTGAAACGTGACACCCTTGTATGGAAGGTAGCAATCGTCTCTGTTTAATCGAAATTATGAGCAGCCAATAACACCTGCCTGACAAGGTCCTAATGCCACTCTCAGGTGAGCAAACTTTGGTTACCCTTGAGCAAGTGCAATTACGAAGTAAATGAGAGCAGCTCTACTCCCCTTCTTTGGAAAAATAAAAATAAATGTTACAACTCTTAAGGGTGTAGTCTAATCTCAGTACATGGGGTGTCCCACATTAATGTCCATTTAAAGCTAAAGACAGTTAACACAAGTACCTGTACTTTTAAATGAAAACGCCTCTCACTTGGCACCAAGAAACTGCATTCTGAAAGCAATTTTAACAAACTGTTGTTTTTAAAGCTGCACCAAGTTATCCTAAAATGTCTCTTCTCTTACTGAAGCATGCACATCTCCACAGGCAGTATGACAGGGGAGTGTAGCACCCTTTCCGCTCTTCAAGCCCAGGAAGAACCCAACCTTCCAGCTTCAGGCTAGTTTTAAACACTATGCACCTCTAATTGTATTCTTTTCTTAGTGGAATTTTATTCTAAATGTTTTGCTTAATTTTCTTGTATGTAAAGATGATTGGGATGAGGTTTTACAAATGGACCCAATAGTAAAATGCTCAGGTGACTGCAACAGAAACAGAGTCACAGCCAAACCCAAGTGTATTTGAAAATTCTACCCACTGCATACATCATTGTAAACCCTGCAAATACTTTTAGGATGCTCTTGTTAAAAGGTCTGGCTATAAATTCACAGAAGCACATTGGAGAAAGACCTGTGAAGATAAACTTTAACAGTGAACACAACAAGGACGCAGTAACCTTTTTTCTTCACAATTTTACCTAAAAAAAATGAAGCCTGTCTTCTTCATCAGCAAATGTCAAGTACTCTTAAATTAGATAGTAAAATTAGATAGTGAAATGCTGCTTCCCAATTAAAAGGAGGCATATATAATGTGGAAGTAACTGAAATAAATGCAAAATAGTCTCCAGCCTAAATTCTATTCACCTTCCAGCAACACCAGAAAATGTTCAGTTAGCAAAGAAAAAAGATATACCTTTCTTCCTGGCAGTGTCATCTGGATCAAGACTCCTGGTTACTGTAACAACCTTAAGAACTAGATGATTGCCCCCTTGTCGAATCATGTTCACCACCTGCCTGTGGCCAACTTTCACTACATTTTCATTGTTAACCTACAAGGAAAAAAAAAAAGGAGAGAGAGAGAGAGAGAGAGAGACTTTTTAGATCAAATATAGAAAAATCCTATACTGCCAATTTTAAAATTGAAAGGGAGAAGCATAGAAAATTATAGAATTTGAATGGACTTTCTTAGGTTTGCTAATTATTTTCTTATAGAATATCAGCAAATATTTATATTATTTCATTTCTTTAATATGCCCACTAGAATATTTATAAGCATTTCATTTACTTTTAGATCCGGGATCCTTGCAAAGAAATCTGACTTTCAAAGGCACTTTTATTTTATTTCCTATTTGCTTCCCAGCATTCTGCCTTTTCTTTATTACCTCCTCAGGAGTCCAAGGTAATGGAAGCAGCTGTGGTAAGGCTACTACAATCCAAAAGCATTTCCAACATAAAGGAAAAGTTACCTATTGTGGAATCTGTTTCAATGGAACATTGTTTTCATTTAATTTTGTTGGCTTATTTTTTTTCTTAAGGGAAAAACCTAACTTCAAATCATATTTATACATTTATATTGCAGGGCAGCAGCAGAGGATCCTGGATAGAACTAGTGTGAAAGAAGGCATTAGTACAGGGGCAGAACTGGGTAACCCAGTAACGAAGGCACTCCCCTAAGACAGAGTGATCTGGGTTCCAGTCCCTGCTCTCAGTATTATTTCACACAGTGACTACTCAATACAAAATGTATAAAAGCAGTCCCTCAGGTGCCTTCAAGACTGGGCTGAAGATTCTTGGCTTCTTCTTGCTTTCTCTCTGATTTATTGTATTTAGCATTTTTGGCAACTCAACAGAATGACAGAAAGGGCAGATTGTTCTAGTCTACCATATAGCCAGGTGGGTAAGTTACTTTTCTGGAAGGTGGGTTGAATACCCTCAGGCTGAGAAAAGCCTAGAACAGAGGTCTTTTGGTTTCTGAACCACTATGACACTTATGTAAAACAGTGGTGGTCAACCTTTTGGACAGGCATGCTAAAGTTAATTTCCAACCCCTCCCTGAGTGCCACTCTGGTCCCCACCTTCCAGAGGTATATTTGATAGAGTTTGCACCCCGGGGTACCAGAATGGAGGCAGAGGAGCTTGAGTCTCCAGTTACACAGAGCAGAACAGGGAGGCTCAAGCTCCCCTACCTCCGTTCTGGTGCCTCTCTTGACTGAGTACCCAGGGCTTGTGTGCCACATACAGCAGCTGCCTTGCTACTTGTGGTATGTTTGCTACAGTTTGGCCACCCCAGGGGAAAAGGTGGGCACCACTTTTCTTCTCCTGGTGTGTTTTAAAAGAAAGTGATGAGATATTTGTTTGCTAGGGATGAAGTAGGTGCTTACATCAGGAGGTGGTTTCAACCTGTGAATCCTCATCAGGATGCCTACCCAAGCTGCAGTTAGGCACTTGAATTCAAGAAAAAGAGTCAGGGTTCAGAATAGCTCCTCTTTGAATTGTTTTTGCAGTCTGGCATCCATTACATGTTCACCTTCTTCTTCTCTTGTACCATTTGGGGACTTGAGGTCTGTGATTTAGGCACCCAGCTCCAGGTTTGGAAAACTTAGTTATAGCAACACAAACTTTTTGGACCTAGGCCTTACTTTTTTTTTTGAAAAACAACAACTAAATGTTAACTAATATCAGCTACCAAAATGATTTCCCTTGCTAATGGACATTTAGAATAAAAAAGCAAGCTGATGATAGACACAAGTGTATCCTTAGAACTGATTTTTTAAAATTATATTCTCTGGAAGATGGAGACAGGGAATCCTGATATGGGGGCGGGGGGGAAGACACGACAGACTCCCCTCTGCATGTACATTTTTATACCACATCTACATGCAAGTCCTAGTAGAGTCTGCTTGGATACAAGTAGCAGGTCCTAAAAAAACCAAATATAGCAGTGCAGATATCCAACCAGTTTCCAGTTCAGGATAGTAACCTTAAGCTCACACTGCTGGATAGCAAAGAGACAAAAATTTACTAAAAACAGTACTTACAGGAGATGTCACCTACTCAGAATACAAACTAGACACGTGTCATAACATGACAATTTTGATAAATTTATTTTAACACTATAAAATATTGCTTCTTCTGACAGCTAGTTCTGACACACAGAAGATATTTTTGATTTTGCCTTCAAAACAACACAAACTGTGGTTCAAGAACAACAGAACTGCTATTATACAGAATCATACAAAATTAGGGTTGGAAGAGACCTCAGGAGGTCATCTAGTCCAGCCCCCACTCTTTTGTTCAATTTTGTCCAATTTCTAGTCCAATTTCCACCATTATGATAAGCAAAGAGTTATACCACTGAAGTCTGAACTTAAAAATTGTTTTGTACCATACTGGAAATTTTTTTTAAGTGGACAAGATGAACTTGAAGAAACAATTTTAGCTTTGTGAATTTAACATTTTATCAATGAGTAATTATGAACCAGTAGCTTCAAGGGCTGAAATACTGAGGTCAGTAAAAGCAATTGACTGAATGTGGCTCAACTGCTTCCAGCGTACAAGAAAACAAATGGTCCCTGTAGACTGCTATTCTGTCTCTTGACAATGGCCAGCATTATGGCCAGATGCTTCAGAAAAAAAATGCACAGAAACCTTTAGTAAGTATTATGAGACAGCCTCCTTGGGAAAATGTCTTTCAAAACTCTGTCAATTAAAATGAGCCAATGCCCTGAAATGTATTATTTCCAATCTAGGACATATAGGAGTTTGATGGCATCCATGCCCAATCCTCTTTTTAGCCACATTTTTTATCACCCATACCTTGCAATAATGAGTTCCACAGGTTAATTATGGGTAGTATAAAAATGATACAACTATATTTGACCCACCAAGACCTACTAAAGTTGAATCACATGAACATTTATTATGTTTTCTTTTCAGAAGTACCACACCACTAAACTTAAGACAGGGTGGTTTGACAGTGGCTGGCAAGAGCTCAACACGACACACTTTTCAGAATTTGACAATAACCTGGACATTAAATTCAGGACTGACCAACAATAAATCAACCTAGACCTCTCTTACCTGTTTATATATGACTATGTCTAATTCCGTGTGCTACCTGTGTTTATTGCATTATTCTTGTTTAACATTTATAAAGTATTAGAAATAACAAAAAGCAATGGTATTACTAAAATAAATGAAGTTACAGGAACATTAGACTTCTATTAGTGTGAGTAGCAACAACTTCACTACCAAATCTCCAAATAATTATTTGAAATATTAAGTTTCCTATGTGCAGTGCTTCAATCCATGACCCCTCATCCCCCCCCCCCCCAAAATGAACCAAAAATTAAATACAGCAAAATGGAAAAAAATTAGACCAAGTTATAAAAATAAATCAGCTGAAAATAATGTTTACTTTTTATTCAGAATAGCCACCAAACACCTTTAAAAATTATGAAAAGAAAATATCTGACTGCAGTATACAGCAGCATCCATACAGATCTCTTAACCGCCTTCCAAAAGCAAACTCAAACACACAGAAAAAAAGTTTGACCTTTATATACTCCAGGTAACTGGGAATCTCAATCTTAAACTACTCTTAAACACAGCAAAGTTTGAGCAAAGTTATTGTAATCTGGAAGAAAAAAGAAAGAGCAGATGCATTCCAATTTAACAGGCCTCTCTCTCTACAATATGAAAACAAACCTCCCAAGCTTTTCACTATTTAAATGAGGGAAAATGCACTTACTAAAAATAAATACATTTTTTAAAAGAATGGAACAATCATAGTACAAATATTCAAATTACTAGCCAAGTGCTGTGCCCCTAAGCCTGACTGCCTGGACAGAAGCTTTTTCATTTTACAGGAACAAGTATCTGTGTAATATATCTACTGACAACTCATCCCTATAAAGGTGCTGACTAGTAGGGTGGTCTCCCTTCAGTGATGGAAGGAGCAAAGTATTAAACTGAACATTTAAGGCTGAGCTATCATCTATAGTATTTGTGTTCTTTGGAGGACATGACGGAAGGCACATGACAAAATCCACTATAAACTTTTTCCATCTTCCTAGCATCTGGTATTGACTGCTATCTGAGACAAGACATTAGTCCAGCTGGACTACTGGCATGTGATAGGGTAACTCCGGTGTTCCTAAATATCTTTTATAAAATGGAATAAAGTATTACACTTCCTAAGAAGCTCCTACTACTAAACAAATCAACACAGTAACTCCTGCATTACAGAAAACAAATACTGGGCCTGGGCAGGCCAGGCTGCCGTTGCCGCAGGGGCCGGCTTTACTGCCTCCCTGCTGGGCCCAGGCAGGCTGGGCTGTGCCGCTGCTGCCACTGGGGCCGGGGCCAGGGCGGGCCAGGCTGCACTGCCGCCGTGGGGGCCAGGGCAGGCCGGGCTGCGCCACCTCTCCGTGTATACACCGCTGTGGGGAATACACGGGTGCAGTGTATACACAGACTAATTTATGAAAATACAATTTTCCACGGGTTATATGTGGGTGTAGCTTATACCCGTGGGCGGGTTTTATGAGCGAAAATACGGTACATATAATTAGAATCCATAGAATGCATTTTAACTGGAGTTATTTCTTTAAACAGAGTTAGTCAGAACTGATTAGAAAATGTCTCCTAATGTTTTCAGGAAAAAAAAATGCAGAGCTACAATAAATCAACAGCATATTAATCAAACATATGCACATTTTACTATAAAAAGTGATAAATGGCTTATGTAGTGCACCATCTGCTGGCATCACTATATGCAATGATGTTATTTAACTTTTGGAGCAAGAACAAATATATACAAGGCATATATTTTTTAAATGGTCTCAAACACAATCTATAATTGAATGTGTACAATGGGTTTGTTTAAAAGCCACAGATATGACAGTAAAGAGCTGCTGAACCTAAAAGATTTCTGTTACAATAATATAGACATTGACAGGGGATATAAAGGTAATTTGCTTCTGCAAAATGTGTGGAGGGTATGGTGTTTAAACACTGTAGAAACAACCAAGAGGTATCTCACCTCTAT